TTTTAAATTATTCTTCTAACAAAATTTAATTAAATGGACTCTTATAACTAAAATTCAGTTAAAAATAGTTTTGATCTAAACGATTTTTTGACAAAAAGAGTGAGATTTTTGTTTTATAATGTAGAAATTTTCGTAAAATTAGTGCGTCTGACTATAAGTAACTTTTACTACTTGGACTAAAAATTTGTCTTCCATTGACTTGTACCACTGATTCGAAATTTAGAATTTGTTTCTACAATAGTAGAAGTAAGTTGCTTACCCGTGTGGAAAATGAAAATTGGTCCTAGCCAGGTCCTACCTATTTTGCCCTGTTAATAGCTTGGTCCTAGGTTGGCAGTGTAGGTTGGACCAACAATGGGTGGTGATGCGATTCTAGCCTGGTCCTAACTTGGGAGCCTAGTTAGGACCAGTTTATGGGTCCATTTTAGGACCTAGAAAGGACCATCTCAGACAGTATTTTCTATTTCATTATAATTTTAATTAGTTAATAATATTTGTTAAAGAAATAACCTAAATTATTAATAATAAGTATTAGTTTTAATTAATTATAATTTTTTTCAATTAAGTGATGACCAAAAGCGAATTCATAAATAATGTTAGTATATGTAGAGATTAATATATATTCCTCTAATATATACATTAAAAATTATAAAAAAATTAGAAATTTGTTAATTAAATTATTTTACAGTATATATAATCATTAAATTGCATACTTATACGAATACAATGCAGAAAAATCGGAATAAACGCAAACCTAAGAAGTAAATAAAATCTAACGCACGCGGGAATCGAACCTACGACCTACGGACTACGAGACTAACGCCCTAACCACTATGCTAATGAAACTAGTTGAGATAAAAATTTTTATAGTCAGTGACTTGTTGACTTGCTTTTGATGATTCAATATAGTATTTATTGACACCAATACACGATAATAAATAAAAAAAAATAGTTTAACAACAACAATAATAATAAAATAATATTCAAATATAAAAATTCAAAAATTAATATTTTTATATTATATCAAGAAAAAAAATATCTATACATTTTCGTTAAAAACAGGTTTTTCATTGTTCTCAATCATTTTTAACATTAATTTCTTGGTCTAAAAAAAATATTCGTCTTTTGGACTTGGAAATTTTTTCTAATTAATTAAGCGGGTGATCCACTTTTTAAAAAAATGTCAAAAAAATTTATGTTAAAAACACGTTTTTCATTATTCTAAATCATTTTAAGCATTAATTTTTTGTTGCAAAAATTTTTTTAGACTTGGACTTAGAAATTTTTGCTAATGAAACTAGGAAGCCCAGGTAGGTCCTGGGTTGGACCTGGGTGGGTCAGCCCACATTCGAATTGCAATATCTCTTAGTGTTTAGCACCAACTTAAACGAAACTTAAAATCAGCGAACGAAATTAGAAATATATTTTACTAATGATAATTATATTGCAGTCTGTATCTGTTTAAATAAATAAATAAATTTTGCTGTTATATTAACTTTTGTAACAAATTACTTAAAAATTTGCAGTTTTTATCTAACTTCGCGATTATTACACTTGAGTAGTGAAATATGAAGATAATTTATAATTTTAACAATTCAGCATTTGTTTAAACAAAAAATTGTTGTTATTTATTAATTCTTAAGACAATAAAGCGTCTAGACACTTGTAGTCTTTTAAAATTTTGCAATTAACTAATCTGAGTATTTACTTATTGCAAAATTAGAAAAAACTGCTAGTTTCTAGGTTGATTGTGTAAAAAGTTAGTAAATAACAATTATTTGTTTAAACAATTGCTGAATTAATAAATTAATAAATTAACTTTATTTTATAGTATTTGTATAATTTTCTGATTTATGTCAAACAATAAATTGTTTAAACAAATATGATTATCAATTAATTTTATAAATATTAATTGAGAATATTTATCAATTTTTACATGTTTTTCATGTATCAATTTTGACACTTTATTTTCCTAAAAATTTTTCTAAGTCATAACTGGATCTCCTAGCTAGTACCAAGTTAGGACCAGCCTAGGATATATAAAAAGGGGTTGCCAAGTTAGGTCCAAGCTAGGGCCAATAATCATTTTAGGCATAGCATGGTGATTTCTACACGGGTAGTATTAATAAGGAGAATCAAAATCTAAAGAGGAAATGCTGTCTGATTATAACTGACCTTTATTACTGGGAGAAAATTTTTATTTTATTACTTATTCAAAAAAATTGTCCAACAGACTTTTATGATCCAAATCTAACTATTACTTCTTCGGTTAGTACACGGAAAAAATTTTGGTGCATCATTTGCGCTGCCTATAGTACAGCTGTTGTACCAGTAGTTCGGCGCACTGTTATCTCGTTTTGGCGCGTCAGATGCACGAAAATGGGACGTATGTTATCCGTATAGGTGTAGTATATCGTCTGCTCTTTTAAATAATGCAGAGGGCTCACCAAAAGGGTGCGCCTGCTGTCACAAAACGGTACGTCTGCTATACTAAGCGCTAGGACAACATTCGTCCTGCGGTTTGGTATAGCTCGTGCACTAGTAGGAACGACTGGTGCACCAAAATTTTTTCCGTGTAGAAATCTACTAATAAAAAAAAAGAAAAATTTAAATTGTTAAAATTGTCTGATTATAACTGATTTGTACCACTAGAAATTTTGAAGAAATTCGTGAGTCTGACTCTTGGTAACTTTTACTACTTGGGCCCAAAAAATCGTCTAAAGTTGACTTTTACTACTGATGCAAATTTACAACTATTTACTTCTTCGGATAGTAAAAATCGACTACTAGAAAAAAAATCAAAAACTAGAAGTGCGTCAAAATTGTCTGATTATAACTGATTTGTACCACTGGTAGAAATTTAAAAAAAATGCAAGTCCTGACTCTTACTGACTTTTACTACTTATACCCAAAAAAGTGGTACTGCCTGGTATATAATTTTTATTAAAATCTTAAATTTTTCTTTTTTTTCTTTTAATAATTCCTCAATGCTTTTCGAATAACTTTATTTTTCTCTTTTTTTGAAATCTGATAGCAAATGAATAGCAGGTGTACTTTCAATTAAGCGAAAATTTGTTTGGGGTTTTTTTTTTATAAATAAATGAAAGGCCCCATTGCTCTTGCAGTTTAAACTAGAACATGGTTCATCGAACAGTGCGCATGCAGTCTCTTGAGAGAATGGTATATCTCAAGGGGAATTAGGAATCAGATAAACAGGAACAAAAGTTCACGCTTAACGATTAAAGCTCTTGAGATATATATAATATCTAAAATTCACAAGAACTGCACTTTGATCGAAGAAACTTTTTGAATAGAGAAAAAGTAGATATAAATTCAGTAATAATTTTCCATAGCTTTTTCTTTTTTCTCGCAATTTCGTTGTTTCTGCATTTCTATCTTTTTTCTCAATAAAAACTTTCTTCTGATGAAAAGAACAAAATAAAAACAAAACTGTTTATAATTATTATTTTTTTTTGTGTTTCGTTTTAGCAAAATGATTGAAAAACGCCTTTTTTTAAAATTAAAAATTTACTCGTGTCTATGAAAAGGAGGCAAATAATAATTGGAAGAAAGAATTTATCAATCTTTTTTAACAAAATAATTCAATTTATGAGAAGAATTTTATTTAATTCTTTCTAAATAATTCAAATCCCGTAAAAATTTTATTATTTAGAAAAATAATTCAATTTCTAAAAAGAATTTCATTATTTATGAAAATAATTGAATTTTTGCTTAGAATTTAAATTAATTTTTTTAAATAATTAAATTCTTGTGGAAAATTTTATTATTTTGGGAAAATAATTGAATAATTGCGAAGAATTAAAGAAAGAATTTATCAATTTTTTTGAAAAATAATTGAATTTCTGAAAAGAATTTTATTGTTTATGAAAATAATTGAATTTTTGCTTAGAATTTAAATTAATTTTTTTTTTTAAATAATTGAATTTTCGTGAAAAAATTAACATTTTAGAGAATAATTAAATAATTGTGAAGAATTGAAAAAAGAATTCAAGTATTCATCAATTTTTTTTTAGAAATGAATTGAATTTCTCATATTATTCATGAAAGTAATTGAATTTTTGCGAAGAATTTTATTTAATTTTTTTTTAAATAATTGAATTCTCATGGAGAATTCTATAATTTGGGAAAATAATTAAATTCTTGTAAAAAATTTTTAAAAAAATTTTAAAAATCATTGAATTCCTGATAAGAAATTTACTATACATGGAAATAATTAAATTTTTGTAAAGAATTTTATTGAAATTTTTGAAAAATAATTGAATTTTTGCGACAAAATTTATAAAAATTTTTAATTATAATTGATGTCTTGAAACTAAATTTATTATTTATAGAAATAATTCAGTTCTTACGAGGAAATTTCATTCGAATTTTTTAAATTCCAGAAATTTTCTGAAAAGTTCTTTTTCTATTTGTGAAAAATAAATTAATTTTCGCGAAGAATTTTATTAAATTTTTTATTAAAATATTTGAATTTTTGCGGCAAACTTTATTAAAATTTTTAATTATAATTTATTTCTTGAGAATAAATTTATTGTTTATAAAAATAATTCAATTCTTACGAGGAATTTTATTCGAATTTTTTTAAATACTTCAATTTTCGTGAAAAGTTTTTTTTTTCATTTGTGGAAAATAATTGAATTTTTGTGAAGGATTTTATTGAAGTTTTTAAAAATAATTGAATTTCTGATAGGATAAATTTATTATATATGCAAATAGTTTTATTCTTGCGAAGAATTTTATTTAATTTTTTTTAAATAATTGAAAAACGACAATTTTTTTTATTTAAAATCAGAAACCAATTAAAAATTGACTCGTGTCTATAAAAAAGAGTCAAATAAATATTTTTTCAAATACTTTTTGCTTGTATTTTATACTTACAATTTAAAAATTATTCCCTGTTTGTAATTAACTTTGTGGAATATTGTTTTATAAATAGTTTTATACATTATGCGCGTTTTGAGGGTTGGAATAAGCTCAGGTCGGCACTGCTACGGAGTCAGTAACGAGCTTAATAAATTCGAGAAGCCTTAGATTTTTTTTTAGCTCAGTCACAAGGTACGTCAAGTTTTTTCTCATCAGTATTTTTTTAAAACGTAACGCAATACCATCAGGGAAAACAATAGTTTTTGTTTTCAATATTTTTGTGATTTTTTTTTTGTGTACAACAATTCTTTATTGTCTGCAAAGAAAAAATTGGTCTCAAAGTAAGTATAATTATTTTACTTTCAGTTTCCTCTTTTATTTAATTCTATTCCTTTATAAATTTTCAATTTCTTTTTTATATTTTTGAATTTATTTTCTAGTTATGAACTTTCTTTTATTTTTTTTAAATAGTTTTTCGAAGTTTATCAAATTGAGACAAAAAAATGTATCAAAACGTTGCAAGCAACGTCTCAATTTGATAAACTTCGAAAAAATGTGTTATGAATATTATTTATATTTTCCTTTTTCATAATTATTTATTATGAAAACTATTATTTTATTATTTTATTTTATTTTATTTTTTTATTATATAATTTTTTATTTATTTTTTCTTTGAATATTATAATCAACTGGAACGTTGAAGATTGATTTAATATTTTCTTTTTATATTTCTCTTTATTTTCAATACTTTTGAACCGACGAAATAGTTTAAATAAATAAATACACGTATATATTTGAAATTTAATGAATTCAAAGTTCCAATGGCCGCAGAAAATACTAATTCACTTTGAAAACGAAGAAGATTTGATTGACTCGTATTTTAAATTATAATTCGCCCTTTTTTAAATTTGTTTAATGAGATTAAAATATTACGTGTTTGATGCAAAATTCAGCGATTTTTAATTAATAAATATAATTAATTAATTAATTTAAATCCAATTACTTAATTCAATTTACATCATTATTTTTCATTTCGGTCTGTATTTTTTTGTACAGAGGAATTCGTGATTTTTTAAATAGAAAATCAGTCTCTATTTCTATCGTCCACGATTAGTTCTCGCGCAGTTGCAAATGCAATTAAAAGATTGTCGATTTAAATTGGAAAGCAATATACCTATCTCAAGTTTAAATTTAAATTAGGCAGTAAAAATAAAGTTAATTTACGATTAAGTTGAATTTAAAGTGGAAAAGTTTATTTCGGCAATTGTTAGATATATAAACTCAATTTTAGATTATTATTTCATTATTATATTGAAGAAAAATTATTTTTGTTCAGTTATTATTTATTTTTCCATTTTTTTTTTAAATATTATTTATTATTTTTATTTATATATTTAATATTTATTCAAGTATACTTTCGGAAATAAAAGTATTTTTTACCCTTTTTGAATTAAACAATTAAAATATAATAACAGGCTTCACACTCAATAATTAATTTTAAAAAATGTATCAAAAAGTAGCTATCGAAAATTAATTTTAACGAATAAGAAAAATGTTTTAGTCGATTCACAAAAATTTTATTCAGTATTTCCCTGGCTGTTTCCTGATTTCAATCAAAAATATTTATTTTTATTCTAATCCTGCTTCTAAATTATTGAAAAATTCAATTATTTTCTTAATTTTTGTCCTAAAAAATACATTGTATTTAAAAGTGATTTTTCAAAGTAAACAAATAAAATTATTTAATAAAATTTAATTTAAACTAATCACAGGAATTAAGAAAATAAATTAATAATATCTCAAAGTAAAAATTTAAATGTTATTACAGTTTTACAATAATTGAAATTTTCAACGATTTCAATTTAATAATCTTTTAAAACTTAGTTATTTCTAAAAAATCGTACTATAACGCTTATAATATTCAATTATTATCTAAAATTTCAACTGAAATTCGTTTTTAAATTGATTCTTATACTAGAAAGTTTAACTGAAATTCAACTATTTAAATACAAAAATAAATTAAAATATTAAATAATTAAATGTTTCTTAAAATTTAATTTGTATAAAGAATTTATCAATTGTTTAAAAAATAATTTAATTTCTGTGAAGAATTCTATTATTTATAGAAATAATTGAATTTTTGCAAAGAATTTTATTTAATTTTTTTTTAAATAATTGAATTCTCGTGAAAACATTTACTATTTGAAAAATAAATAAATAATTGTGAAGAATTAATGAAAGAATTCAAGTAGTTATCAATTTTTTAGAAATAAATTGAATTTCTTAGATGAATTTTATTATTCATGAAAATAATTGAATTTTTGGGAAGAATTTTACTTAATTTTTTTTTAAATAATTGAATTCTCGTGGAAAATTCTATAATTTGGATTTTGAGAAAATAATTGAATTCTTGTAAAGAATTTTATTAAAATTTTTAAAAATCATTGAATTCCTGATAAGAAATTTACTATACATGCAAATAATTGAATTTTTGTGAAGAATTTTATTAAAATTTTTGAAAAATAATTGAATTTTTGCGACAAAATTTATTAAAATTTTTAATTATAATTGTATTTCTTGAGACTAAATTTATTATTTATAGAAATAATTCAGTTTTTACGAAGAATTTTATTCGAATTTTTTAAATTCTTGAATTTTCTGAAAAGTTTTGTTTTTATTTGTGGAAAATAAATGAATTTTTGCGAAGAATTTTATTGAAATTTTTGAAAAATAATTGAATTTTTGCGATAAACTTTATTAAAAATTTTTAATTATATTTCTTGACAAGAAATTTATTATTTATAATAATAATTCAATTCTTACGAGGAATTTTATTCGAATTTTTTTAAATACTTGAATTTTCGTGAAAAGTTTTTTCTTTATTTGTGGAAAATAATTGAATTCTTGCGATGAATATTATTTCATTTTTTTTAAATAATTCAATTCTCGTGAATACTTTTACTATTTGGAAAAATAATTGAATTCTTGTGAAGAATTTTATTAAAATTTTTTTTAAAAAAGTAGGTATTTGAATTGTTGAGAAGCATTTTATTATTCATGCGAAAATAATTATTATTGTACTCTAGCCTGGAATTTAATTAAAATTTTTATAAATAATTGAATTATTCTGAAAAATGTTATTGCTTGTGAAAATAATTTAATTCTTGCTGTAGAATTTTAGAAAAAGTTATTAAAATTGATTTTCATCGACAAATTTTATAATATATTTTAAATACAAATTCAATTCCTGTGAAAATTTGATTATAAAAAAAAATTTAATGTTTTTGAAGAATTTTATCAAAAATCTTTTGTGGAATTTTATTAAAATTTTATAAATTTATAAATATTGAAAATGATTGATTTTTGAATAGTTTCGAGAATAATTGAATCGTTTTAAAGAATTTTATATACAAATTTTTAGAATTTTTTTTTTTCTATTTCAACTATTAGGGAATTTGAAGTGATGCAAAGGAGTTTAATTTACTTTAAATTAAAAAATTGATTTATTGTTTAATTAAAGAAGTTAAATTAATTAATTAATTAATTAAAAATAAAATTTGAATTGTTTATGTTTATTTATATTTATATACGAAACCGATGCAAAAGTCAAAGTAGCGCGAAGTTTTGAATCTGAACTGTTTTAGCTATCGCATTCTGTATGAAGAATAAGCAAATCAGTTTTCGTATATATATATATATATATATATTTATATTTAGAAGCGGCAAATATATATGTGCAAAGTTTGGTTTGAAATGCGCAAATTTCCTAACAATATCGTCAATTATCCGACCGTTTCTCGAGTCCGCTTTCTCTGAGGAGCTTCTGGTGTACTATATACATATATATACACACAGAGTTTTAGGAGTTTCAAGGAAAATTGTAGATATTCAGAATTTCAGATCCATTCCCAAAACCAATAGTGAGAAAGTTCTTCGGAAATTGTTTTTTTTTCTCCTTTTTTTTTTTATTTTAATCGACGTACCGAGAGTACGAATAGTATTAAAGGTTAGTTCATTACTCGAGATGGAATTTTCCTCTCATAGGTACTTTTGATGCTTCACACAAAAGTTTACTGCATTTTGTTTACTGAAACTTTTTACTTTTCCTTCTGTAAATTTCTAATTGTATTTTTATCTATTTTTCCAATTGATATTATTTTCCGACAGTTTTTAAATAAATATCAGTTGAAAATTTAGATATAGTAATTTAAAATTATTAAAAGCGAAAAAGAAATATTAAATATAAAATTATAAATCCAATATACAGATGGGTTTTTCAATTTATCATTTTTTTCATTTAAAAAAAAATTTTTTTTTAAATGAAAAAAATGAAACTAAATTGAAAAACCCTTCTGATATAAAATATAAATTTTGGTCAAAACACAGAAAAAAAGTAACATCGAAAAAAATAAATCAATATAGAAAAGAAAAATACTATCGAGACTTTAATTTGAAATACGTAAAGAAAGAGATCATTTTTAACTGAATTTTAACTTTGAGAGCATGATTTTAAGTTCTAAAATCTAAAGTTATGACTTGAAAGTTTTAAATTTAAAAATAGGATAATAATTTTTAATAATTTTGGTTCAAAAATTTTTTTTTTTCTGTGAATAGAAATTACACATTCTGTATATTTTTAGAATAATATGAATGTATAGAGATCAGTGTAGAAATACACATAAGTATTTTATATAGTAGAGAAGTAGGTAGGTATGTGTTTACGATACAGAGGAAAAGACCTTGCATTGTGCGCAATAAACGATCGAGACGAGTCAAGACTGCCCTTCGCTGATAACGTGTATTCACTTTTCCCTCAGCGATTTTGCCCGGCTGCAGTGGTTGCCCACAGATTTCGTACTGCTCTGCTTTTGGCACGCTGGTATTTGACATCGTTACAAGTGCCTATACTCTGAAAGATAGCGGTCGAGGCCAACCACAAGAGAATTTCAATTCAATTGTGTCCAGGTAGCCACTGGCCCACTGCAGTTGCAGCAAATCCATTGCACTTATATACATATATATATCCACACGAAAACGTAATCACTAATCATCAAACATTCACTCATACATCTATAGAAATAAAAAAAAATAAAATAAAAAATTTTCCAAATTTCTTATTTCTTAAACTAAATTTTTCGTGAAACTAGTGAACCATTACTTACTATTCACTATTTTTTAACGGCAGTAAATTTAGTAAATTTAGTAATCATTACCGATTTTTCTAAATTTAGCTCTAAAATACATAGAAAATTTTACTTCCGCAAAGTGTAGTATAAAATAAAATTTTCCTGCGTGTGTGTCATTTGTAGAAATTAAATTTGAAACTAGACAAAGAAAATTTATCAGACTGTTTATTTATCAAATAACTTTTTATAAAAAAAAAATACTTGTTTCTATTATTAATTACGAACAGATTTCGACTTTCTATTATTATTTCAAGAGATGTAGGAGAATAATTTTAAGCTGGAAAATAACAAATAGATTTCAAATGCTCCATTCGCTATTTTTAATAAAATCCTCATGATAACAAAACCATATATGTACATTGAATATCTACTTGAAAACAATTTTAAGAATTTAATATAATAAATTATAGAATAGAAAACAATTCAATAAAATTAATTTTCCTTTATGGATTTTTGGGGAATGTTCAAAATTCCAGAAACTCTAGACATATAGATGTTGCATTACGATGTTTATCGTGGATATTTTTGTTTTTTAATTCACTCATCGATATTTATTGGATAATTAAAAAAGAAGAAAAAAATACAAGTCGGGACTTGTTTATAAACTACGTTACTACGTTATAACTTACGTTTATAAATTACGTTACTAATTTATCGAAAACTCTTTAAAATTAAAAAAAAAAATTAAGAAAAATACTTAAAATAAAAATTAAAGGAAATACAACATTGATGTTTATTAAAAGTACAGGAAAAAAATTTAAAAAGTTTAGAATTTATGAAAAAATTAGGAATTTTTGTGAATTTTCGTTTGACTCATAAACTATAAAATAACCACAAATTCTAAAAAAACAATAAATTTTTTTTTGAAAGAATTCAACTATCTTGAAATTCTTTCCAAAAATTCAATTATTTTCAAGAAATTTAAAAAAAACTCTCGTCAACATTTCAATTATTTTTATAAACAGCAAAATTCAATTATATTCAGAAATTTTTATAAAACTCATTGTAAAATTCAATTATTTTCATAAATAACATTACTCATCGCGAGAATTCAATTATTTTCAAAATTAAAATAATATTCTTCCCAAAAATTCAATTATTTTCAGAAATTTTAATAAAATTCATTGAAAAATTCAATTATTTTCATAAATAATAGTATTTACCACAAGAATTCAATTATTTTCAAAATTAATAATTATTCTTCGCAGAAATTCAATTATTTTCAAAATTAATAATATTCTTCCCAAAAATTCAATTATTTTTATAAATAATAATAGTATTCATCACAAGAATTCAATTATTTCAAAAGTAGTAAAAATTGAATTTGCATACATTTTTTCGATAAAATCAAATTTTGTTAAATTTGACATTAAATTCTTCGCAGTAATTCAATTATTTTCATAAATTTTAAAATTCTTTTCAAGGATTTAATTATTTTCATAAATAATAAAAATCATTCGGAGGAAGTCAATTATTTTCATAAATAACAATATTTATCACAAGAATTTAATTATTTTCAAAAAGTAATAAAATTCAATTATTTTCAAAAGTTTTAATAAAATTCATTGCAAATTTTCAATTATTTACAAAATTTTTTCTTAATTCAATAAAACTTGTACATCTATTATTTTTTAATAAAATTTCCCAAAAGAATTCAATTACTTAAAATCAATTTTGACAAAGTTCTACACGAATATTCAATTATTTTCTAAAATAATGCAAATTTTACAGGAATTCAATTATTAAAAATAGAATTTGCATACATTTTTCCAAAAAAAATCAATTGTTATTAAAACTTTTTTTTTATAAAACTCTTCTTAATAATTCAATTACTTTAATAATTAATAAAACTCATTGCAAAATTTTCAATTATTTTTAATACAATTTTAATCAAATTTTTCGAAAACTGTAAGTATTCTTAAAAATTGTATTAAAATTCGTTTAAAAGAATTCAATTATTCAAAAATTTGTTGATAAAATTACAGTCTTTAAAAATTTAATTTTAAGAAAAATTTAATTATTCAATAAATTATTTATCTGTATTTGTATTTAAATAATTAAATTTTAGTTAAAGTTTCAAATATTAATTGAATTTTGAAGAAGTTACTGATAATTGCAATTTTTTAGAAATAATTGAATTTTGTAAAGGTTTCAAATTAAAATCATTGATGATATGAATTTTTCATACTTTTAATTAAAAATTCTATGGAAGAAAATTTTTTTCAAAAAGCCTAATTGAAATTTTTTATAATTATTTCAAGTTTTTATTTTCTAATGTATATTTAATTGAAAAATTTTCTAATAATCAAAAGTTTTGTTAAAATTGAATAGTAAACAAATAGATTTGAAAATTTTCAAAAAGTACTTTATCAAAAATTAAAAAGAATTGATTTAAAGAAGAATTTTATTTAAAAATTCTAGAAAATAATAATTGAATTCAAATTATTAAAATAATTTTAAAGAAATTACAGTAACAATATTTTGATAAATTATGGAAACTCGTAAATAATTTTGTACGAAGATCAGGAACTAATGAATAATAATTATTCATTAGACTTGAATGCTTAAATAAACACAAAATAATAAATAATTATTAAAGTAATAAATAATTATAAATAAAATGACAAAAGTCGGAAAATATAATTTATTCTAGAAAATGAAAGTCAATGGCAACGTCAAAGTGAAAATCGAAAGTCAAACTCAGTTTACAAAATCGCATAGTTGAAAATTGTAAAAAAAATACAAAAACGAAAATTAATAACAATAGAAATTAAAAATTAAAAAATTAAAATACATAAAATTAGAAAAATAGTGAAATTTGAGTTTAAATGCAGTAGATGATTTTTGACAAATACTATAGAGACGATATATATTTTTAGAGTATACACGAGGAGTGTATGTACTTAAAATCCTGTTTCATTTCGTACGTGATGAGTATAATGAAACAATTAAAAGACCTTTCAATTCCTCCTTCAGTTTCTAACAAGTCCAAGGAACGTGTTGAATGAGTGATGATTGTTTTTAGGTTAATATTAGGTTCACAGTAACGATTTTATCTTGAAAGGATAAAATTCAGGTCAACATTAACTAGTAAAATACTTAAACTGTATATATAGGGAATTGGAAGGTAAATTTACTTCTCTGTGAATTATCACCAAACATATGAAAATAATCTAATTTTCTATAAACTAATTTATAATTGCTAATAATAATAATAATAATTGTTAATAAAATTTATAATTATAATTTATATATGCAAATGGAAAAAATATAAATCAGAAATGATGATGTGATACAAAAAAAAAAAAAATTTCCTTTGTAGCTTTTTATATACACAAATAAATCTGAGATCGAAATTTTCGCGAGAGCTTTTAGCTCCCATTTATTATATTGACCTGAGGGGTTTACATTTTCAATGCGCTGAGTTTACAATACTTCACTGGGCAGAAAATTAAACTAACGAGGCTTGAAAAAACTTCTATTAAATTATACGTCTCTTTGTTTTATTAATTCAATTACGTATTCAGATTAGAGTCTCGATAGTATTTTTCTTTTCTATATTGGTTTACATTTAATATTTATGATGTGCGAATATTAATTTTGCGTTAAAACATTTATTTTATTAAACAGCCGCCACATTTCACGCGTTTTTAACAATTTTTTTTTTCTATTACCGGAAGTTAATTTTTCATATTATTTTCGAACTAAATTTTTACTATATTTACAATTATCTTCAAATATTTTAATTATAATTTTCTAAAAAAACAATTGCGTTTATTTATTACTATACGTAAATAATATTTTTTGTTTTAAAAAGTTTCAGATGAAAATTGTCGCGCGATGAAGAAGCACAGCGAAAGTTCAAAGGAGGAACGCTCAAGAATTAATCGTCGAGTGCCAAAAATTAATATTTCAAAGCCAGTTGAGGATAAAATTGAGGAGAGAAATTTAAATGATGACGATGAGCTTAATGAAGGCTTCGGTACGTGGGTACGTTCCGATAATGGTGTAGAAATGATGAAACTTTTCGTCATTGCCAATTCACTATTAGCCGTTATAACAATGGCCTGGCCAAGTATACAAGAAACTTATATTATTCTTCGCGAATTAATAATGGGTGATGAGTGAGAAGAAGAAGAAGTTCAAAATTTTCACAAAAAAAAAATCTGAAACGAAATGAATTCTTTTAATTATTATTAATTTCCATTTGAATACTTTATTGGTTAATTCGGCGAAGGGAGGAAATAACAAACAGGAACCGAAAGAACAAGAACTAGAACAAAAACCAGAACAAGAAAAAATACAAGAACTAAAACAAGAAGAAGAAGAAGAAGAAGAAAACCAACGAGAACAAGAACAACAAAAACTGAAAGAAAAACTGAAACAAGAAGAACAAGAAAAACAACAAGAACTGGAACAAGAAGAGTAAAAAGAAAAAAATCTACGAGAACAAGAAAAACAACATCTACGAGAAGAAGAACAACAAGAACTAAAACAAAAACTAGAACAAGAAGATCAAGAAAAACAACAAGAACTAGAACAAGAAGAGTAAAAAGAAAAAAATCTACGAGAAACAGAACAAGAAAAACTAGAACAAGAAAAACTAGAACAAGAAAAACAACATCTACGAGAAGAAGAACAACAAGAACTAAAACAAAAACTAGAACAAGAAGATCAAGAAAAACAACAAGAGCTAGAACAAAAAGAGCAGAAAAAACAACAAGAAATTTATGTCATGAATAAATAAAAAAATAAATAAACAAGAACTAGAACAAGAAAAGCAAGAAGAACAACAAGAACTAGAACAAGAAGAACAAGAAAACCAAACAAGAACCAGAACAAGAAAAGCAAGAAAAAGAACAGGAACTAGAACAAGAAGAATAAAATCTACGAGAACAAGAACAACAAAAACAAGAAAAAAAGCAAGAAAGACAACAAGAACTAAAACAAGAAGAGCAAAAAGAACAAACTATACAAGAACAATAACTAGAACAAGAACTAGAACAAGAAGATTATGTCATGAATAAATAAACAAGAACTAGAACAAGAAAAGCAAAAAGAACAACATGAACTGGTACAAAAACTAAAACAAGAAGAACAAGAAAATCAACAAGAACCAGAACAAGAAGAGCAAGAAAAAGAACAAGAACTAGAAGAACAAAATCTACGAGAACAAGAACAACAAAAACAAGAACGAGAAGAAAAACAAGAAAGACAACAAGAACTAGAACAAGAAGAGCAAAAAGAACAAACTATACAAGAACAATAACTAGAACAAGAACTAGAACAAGAAGTTTATTTCAGGAATAAATAAATAAACAAGAACGGGAACAAGAAAAGCAAGAAAAACAACAAGAACTGGTACAAAAACTAGAACAAGAAGATCAACAAGAACTAGAACAAGAAGAGCAAAAAGAACAAAATATACGTGAACAAGAATAGCAAGAACTAGAACAAGAAGAGCAAAATCTACGAGAACAAGAACAATAAAAACAAGAACAAAAGCAAGAAAGACAACAAGAACTAGAACAAGAAAAGCAAAAAAAACAAACTATACAAGATCAAGAACAAGAAGTTTATGTCATGAATAAATAAATAAACAAGAACAAGAAAAGCAAGAAGAACAACAAGAACTGGTACAAAAACTAGAACAAGAAGAACAAGATCAAGAAAATCAACAAGAACTAGAGCAAGAAGATCAAATAGAACAAAATCTACAAGAACAAGAACAACTAGAACAAGAAGAGCAAGAAAAACAACGAGAAGTTTATGTCATGAATAAATAAACAAGAACTAGAACAAGAAGAACAAGAAAATTAACAAGAACCAGAACAAGAAGAGCAAGAAAAAAACAAGAACTAGAAGAACAAAATCTACGAGAACAAGAACAAAAACAAGAACAAGAAGAAAAGCAAGAAAGACAACAAAAGCTAGAACAAGAAGAGCAAAAAGAACAAACTATACAAGAACAAGAACAACAAGAACTGGAACAAGAACCAGAACAAGAAGTTTATGTCATGAATAAATAAATAAACAAGAACTAGAACAAGGAAAGCAAGAAGAACAACAAAAACTAGAACAACAAGAACAAGAAGATCAAGAAAATCAACAAGAACTGGAACAAGAAGAGCAAAAAGGACAAAATATACGTGAACAAGAATAGCAAGAACTAGAACAAGAAGAGCAAAATCTACGAGAACAAGAACAACAAGAACTAGAACAAGAAGAGCAAGAAAACAACAAGAATTAGAACAAGAAGAACAAAATATACGAGAACAAGAACAACAAGAACAATAAGAGCAGCAAAAATAACAAGAAAAACGAAAAGAAGAAGAAGAAGAAGAAAAAGAAAAAAAATAATTAACAACCTAATAAAGTTTCTTTTAATTATTAAGAAAAATGTTGGCCATGGTTGTTCGAGGTGTTTTCCTCGTCGGTATTCTATCTTTATACAGCGTGAGTTTATGGAAAATGATTGACGGCTTTTTCAAGGATCGCTTTCAAAATTATCTCCATGAGGAATTTAAGAAAAATCCCACAATGCGTGCGGATTTAAATAAATACGCAGCGCTCAAGGCCAACAAGAGGGAAAATGATTTTATCAACATTGAGAATTTGCCATCAGCGCCAAGTATGAGTGAACGTGAATTTGACGAAACTCACCTATCACAGTCGGGATCTGTCGATATTTTAACAACTGCCGCCACCTTCTTGGAAAATAACAATCCCAAGATCACTGAGCAAAACACTCTTCTCACAATATCAGTCGATGATAATAATAATGCTTTCCAAGAATCTCACGAACTGCAAGCAAAGCGAAATCCAAATCCAATGAAGACGAGAACAACAACCACCACCACCACCACAACCGGAAATCACGAGCAATCTTCCGAAAGAACAAAGAAAAATGGTGAGATGAATGATGGAGAACATGGTTCATCATTAGATTCAAGAAGAATTGAGAGTGAGAAGAGAAGAAATAAAGGGGAGAAGACGATAAGACAGAAACGTGGTTCGTTGTTGCAATTAGAGAGCAATAAGAAGGAATCAAAAAAACGTAAATACGTACCAATTACATTTAGTGATGATGATTTTAGAACAGCTAAAAAATCATTCCATGAGGATGATTTTTCGGAATTTGAAAATGAAGACGAGATGCAAAATGAACGTGAAATTGGGGGAATATTAGTTTCTGAATTACCCATAAAACCGAGATTTGACATTGGAGTACATGAAATCGTAAATGCTGATGAATTTTGTCCTCTAACCTTGGAAGATGAGGCGACGTGTGGAATAACTAGCAAGTGGCCTTGAAATTCTCATCGCGAATAACGATCTCTCTAAGGCAAGCTTACAATTTTTTTTTTATTTTTTTTATTTTTATTCCACGATGACGATTCAAATTCAGATTCAAAAGTCGATTATCATAAAAGGATGCAGGATACATTTCATTAGGAGAACATATCTTCTTTATTATTTTTAACAATTTTTCTATTTTTTTCTAATTATTTTCTAAACTGTTTTGTAACATTTGAAAATAGTCTTTTTTCTTTAATTAAAAAATTGTATTTGAAAATATATTTGAAAAGATATTTAAAAAATATTGTGTTTGAAAATATACTTGAAAATATATTTAAAGAATATTGTATTTAAAAAATATTTGTATTTGAAAAATATTTGCATTTGTTTAAAATAAAAAAAAATATTTATATGTCTCTGAATCCTAATTAGTAATAAGTGCAAGCCACTAAGTCGCATTTAGTAAGAATTTTCTACTTTATTAAAATTAAGTGTTTTTAAATATTTATGTAAATTTTTTGTATAGAATATTACAAATTTTGTTATAGTATTTATTCTCTAGATTTTAATTAGAAAAAATGTTTACTAATTTGCAATAATAATTAACTTTTTGCTTTTGAATCAGTATGTTTAACTAATAAATTAGTAGAAATTACTATTTATTATTAAAATTTACTAATTCAAAAGCAAACAGTAATTTCTACTAATTTTTTTTAGTAAAATTTACCAACTCAAAAGCAAAAAGTCATAAATTATGAATAAAACAAAAAAAAATAATTTTTTGCTTTTCAATTAGCAAAGGGTACTAATTAGTTAGTAGAAATTAATAATTGAAAGGGAAATAGAAAATTGTACTAAATAGTAATTTTTACTGATTTATTAGTAAAATTTACTAATTCGAAAGGAAATAGTAATTTCTACTAAGTTTTTTAGTAAAATTTACTAACTCAAAAGCAAAAAAGTCATAAATATATTAAAAAAAGTAACTTTTTGCTTTTGAATTAGTAAATTTGACTTAAAATTGGTAGAAATTACTATTTATCAGTAAAATTTACTATTTCAAAAACAAAAAATCACAACTAAGTAATTTCTACTAATTTAGTTTATGATTTGTAATTCGATTTTAAGGGTAAAAAATCGAGTGATTTAAATGTATAAGTGGCTTAAAATATGTACAACTTATTTGAAATAAAGTGTTAATAAAGGAAAAATAAAAATTAATCCAAGTGATTCTTTTTAATGGTGTCAAGTTTTTTTCATAAAAAATATTTACGTTTTTTTACACTGCCAATAACTTCAATTCTTAATTTTTACAAAATGCAACAAGTTTCTACATTTTAATTTAAAAAGTTTTTTTTAAATTCTTCATAAATACGACTATGTTTATAAATAATTTTTATTTATAAAAGAATATAAATAATTATTCTTGAAAATATAAAATTTATTTCAATTAAATTTGCCAAAATTTCCAAACAATTGGGAATATTATTTGATCTTTTTAAATTATTTACGGAAATTTAACTATATCTTTAAAATATTTTAATTGCAATTTTCCAAAAGACTAATTTTTTGTATTAATTTTGAAATTAAATTTACATTTAAAAATAGAATAATTGTTGTTAAATAAATATTAAAATACTTTTTTTATTTTTACACAGGAATTAAAATTCTTTTAAAAATTCAATAAACTTTTTGTTAAAAATTTTAATTAAACTTACTCAAAACTTAATATTTTTTTTTAATAAAATAATGAATTTACAATTTTTTTAAAAATAAAAATTTAAATATTATTACAGTTTTACAACAATTAAAATTTTCGAAAAATTTAATTTTAAAATTAATTCTAATTAGAAAGTTTAAATCACAATTATTATTATTATCACAATTATTTAATTACAAAAATAAATAATTTAATGAATAATTGAATAGTTATGAAGAACTTTATCAAACTTTTTGAAAATAATTCAATTTTTTCAAAGAATTTTATTAATATTTTTAAAAATAATTTCATTCTTTCAAGAAATTTGATTAAAATTGTTATAAAAATATTTGAATTTTTGTGAAAATAATTGAAAATAATGAATGAAAATAAATGAAAATAAATGAAAATAAATGAAAATAAATGAAAATTAATTTCGAGAATTAATTAAATTTGATTAAAATTGTTATAAAAATATTCTTTCGATGAATTTTAATAAAATATTTTTAAAAATTAATTGCATTTTTTGGGGAATTCATTGAAAATTGCATAAAAATAATTACTATCATATTATTAATTACTATTATTATTTTTATAATAAGTAATTTAGTAATTTACTAATTAATAATTTTTAATTATAAAAACAGTAAAAGTAATTAGTTAAAAAAAACTGTTAATATTAGTAATTAGTAATTCAAAGTAAGAAACTACTAATTATTAAAATTATTTTTAATTATTTTTAAAATAATTTAATTCTTTCGAAGAATTTTACTAAAATTTTAAAGAATAATTGCATTTTTCGAGGAATTTATTTCAAATATTAAAAATAATTGAAATCCTGTTATGAGTTTGTTCAATAAAAATAATTGAATTTTTGCAAGGAATTTGAAAAACTTTTTAATATAATAATATTGAATTCTTGCAACGAATTTTATTATTTATAAAAATAATTGTATTCTTGCGAAGAACTTCATTATAAATTTTTTAAAAAAATTAAATTCTTGCAAAGAATTTTATAAAAATTTTTTCAAATAATTGATTTTTTTCTAAAAAAATTTTATGAAAATTGTGTTTTAATTTTCTAAATAATTGAATTCCAGTGAAAATTTGATTATTTCTGAAAATAATTGAATGTCTGCAAAGAATATTGTATATATAAAAATTATGTTTAAATAATTGAATTCTGTTGGGAAACTTTTTATTTAATTGGAAAATATTTAAAATAATTGAATTGTGAAAAATGTTTGAGAAAATAATTGAATGTTTTGATAGAATTTTATTGAAAAAAAAATTAAATTAAAATCGTTGCGAATTAGTAATTTTTAATTGTAAAAACAGTAAAGATTATTATTTAAAAAAATTTAATTAGTAATTAGTAATTTAGAATAAGAAACTACTGATTATTAAAACAAAAGAGTAAAAAAATGGTTCAAGTAATTAAAGATTAAAATTTTTTTAAAAAACTTTTCAACGGAATTTCTGTCGAGTAAAGTATATATAGCGGAGGAAAAAAAAATTTTAGAAAAAGAAAGACTCTATTAACAGGGAATTATATATGAGATAATTACTGGTCTGTTGTATTAAAGTAGTGAAATCGGAATACCTGCGGATCTAATGGGATATGAATTATTGCGTGCTACTGACCAGAAACCTCGATAAGAAGAATGTAAAGAGAGTATAACATCTTTCATTGGCACTGTTACAGTCTCGAGAGGCCTGTTACTTAATTCTGTCAATGAGCTCTCTCTTTCTCTCTCTCTGTCTCTCTCTGTCTCTCAAGTCAATGATTTTCCTTGCCTCAAACCTCCTCTATAACCATAAAACTATCCTCAACTCCATGCCTTTATGGATAATATTTACAATTTACTAGACAATTCATTTTCAAATTATACACTTCAAGTTATAATAAATTGAAAATACACATTTTAAAGGAATGCAATTTACCGCCACTTAGTATCATCTTTTTATCCGCTTACATCATACTTGCGAATTTATTTTTCAAATTAGCTGGCAATTTTTCTTCTTTTAAATAATATTTGTTATTTATGAATTTGGCAAAAATTTTGAATTCAAATTTTTTTAATTCTAGTAATTTTAATGGACTGAAATTTATCTAAATTCTTGCTGGGATGTTGCGTTCACAATTTTCATAAGTAGATGAACTTCAAAAGATTTTGATTTGAAATTTTGTAAAATTGAAATTTTAAAATAAATGAATTTAATTAGAAAATTTTTAAAAAACCTAGATTTTATACAAAAATTTTACTAACTAAAATTCTTCTGAAATTCAATTATTTTTAATACAATTTTAATGGAATTCCTCGAACAATGCAATTATTCTTAAAATTTTTTATTAAAATTCAGCAAATAAATTCAATTATTTAAAAAACTTTTGCTACAATTTATTTATTAGAATTTAAATTTCTTCAAAGAATTAAATTATTTTCAAAAATTTTTTATTAAAATTCTTTGTAAAAAAATCAATTTTTTTCAAAATAATTTTAATAAAATTCGTCTTAAGAATTCAATTATTTTCAAAAGTAATATAATTCTTCGCAAAAATATTATTATGTTCAAAAATTTACAAAAATTCTCGTCAAAATTTCAATTATCTTTATAAATAATAAAAATTTTCTCCGAAATTCAATTATTTAAAAAAATTTTAATAAAATTCTTGACAGAATTTCAATTATTTTTAATACAATTTACATCAAATTTCTAAAAATGAAATTAAGTTATTCTTAAAAATTTTATTAAAATTTGTCAAAAGAATTCAATTATTTTCAAAAGTAATATAATTCTTCGCAAAAATATTATTATGTTCAAAAATTTACAAAAATTCTCGTCAAAATTTCAATTATCTTTATAAATAATAAAAATTTTCTCCGAAATTCAATTATTTAAAAAAATTTTAATAAAATTCTTGACAGAATTTCAATTATTTTTAATACAATTTACATCAAATTTCTAAAAATGAAATTAAGTTATTCTTAAAAATTTTATTAAAATTTGTCAAAAGAATTCAATTATTTAATAAAATATTTCTTTTTGTAGTTAAAAAATTGAATGCTCCTAAAATTTTCCAATAAATATTGATTTAAAAATAAATTTTAGTTATAATAAATAAATTCTTCTTTAACAATTAATTATTTTTATAATTTTCAAATTTGTCAATTTCCAAATCCATTTGTTTACAATATTCAATTTTACGAAATTTCAATTATTCGTAAATTCTTTAATTAAATAAATATTAGAAAATAAAAACTTAAAATAATATTAAAAAAATTCAATTAAACTTTTTCAAAAAAATTAATTTCAAAATTCAGTTATTTTTAAAAATTCCCGCTATATTGCTTTTAATATTCAATTATTATCTAAAATTTTAACTAAAATTAATTTTTAAAACAATTTTTATTAGAAAATTCTACTAGAATTCAATTATTTAAATACAAATAAAATGCAAATAAATAATTTATTGAATAATTGAATGTTTCTTAAAATTCAATTCCCATAAAG